AAAAAAAAAAAGAAATACCAAAAAAAACAAATACCAAAAAAAAATAAGAAGATGAAGAAAATAAAGGAAAATACGAAAAAGAAAGCCAACTAAGAACAAAGAAAAATAGAAAACTAAAACCAAAAGAGGGAAACATTTATAAATAATAAAATATGAAGAACAAAAAAATACCACTTTGTCTTTGGCAAACGAAGAACCAAAAACAACGTAAATTTATGGAGGTAGGGCGAGTCGAACGCCCATCACAGTGATGCAAACACAGTGTAATACCGCTATACTATACCCCCCCTTCTTTATCTACTATTACCTTTTCTTTTCTTAACCATTTATTACAAGTAGTGGGACTTGAACCCACACGGTTGGACACCACAGTTTCCTAAGAACTGCCTGGCTACCATTTCAGCATACTTGCATAGATTGGCTTTATCTTTCTCCTATTTTCCTTCTAATTTATTTTTTCTGTTTTTAGTTACAAAGTAATGAAAAAAAAAGAAGGACCAAAATGAAGAAATAAGGAAGAAGTGGAGAACATAGTTCTGTTCTACTTTTTGTTACTCTTAGTTTAGTTCGTTTTTAGTTTATACTTCTTTGTTGGACTTGTATTTATTTTGCCTTTTGTTGGTATTTTGTTTTTTTTTTTTTCTCTTATTTATTTTTTTCTCTAGAGAGTAAATTCTAAGAAAATAAAGGAAAGTACAAAAAGGAACCAAAAGAAAACCAAAAAACAAAATAAGAAAGGAACTAAGATTAATGAAAAGAAAAATACAGAAGAAAATAAAGGAAATAAGAAAGTGGTTTCTCCTATTTTGTTTTTAACTACTTTGGGTTCCTTTTTGATATTTTTCCTTTTTTTATGGTTCTTCATCTTTTTTAGTATTTACTTTGTAACTAAGACCAAGAAAATAAAGAACCAAATAAGATAAAAGGAAATATCAAAAGTACTTTCCCTTTTTATTTCCTTTTCTTATTTTCCTAAAGGAAAATACCAAAAGGAACCAAAAAAAGAACAAGATTACAAAGAGGAAAAGGGGAAATTCATTAAATAAAATTATTAATGATAGATTATGAATATAGTAGTAAGAAACTCATCATTAGAGCGAATAGTCCTGTAGCCTCTGATAGAGCGAATCCTAGGATAGCGTATGAGAATAATTGTGGACGTAGTGCAGGGTTTCGTGCAGTTGCAGTAATTAATCCTGAGAATACAACTCCAATTCCAACTCCAGCTCCAGCTAGTCCAATTGTAGCTAGTCCTGAACCAATGTATTTAGCAGCTTGTAGCATATTTAGTTAAATTTATTATAACCTTGTCACATCCTATATTTTCTTACTTCTTTCTCTTTTTGTATTCTAACAGAATAAAAACAAGTTTTTATTTATTTTTTTCTCTATTTTTATTTTTAGTATTTGTTTTTTTTCTGGTATTTTCCTTTAGGAAAATAAGAGAGAAAAAAAAACAAATAAAAGAAAACCAAAAACAAAATACGAACCATAATTGAAAGATAGGAAATAAGGGTGAAGAAAGAAAAGTAAGAAAGCCACCGGAAACCGGAGGCCAATTAATATAATAGACAGAGTTCTAGTTTGCAGTAGTGGTACAAGGTCACAGCCTTATACATACCGTTCTTATAGAAATATATCCATACATTTTTATATAAGAGAATTACTAATTTATTTAGTAGCTTTTTATTTAGCTTTCTTTGTTTTGTTCTTCTTCTTATTGGTTCCTTTATGGTTCTTTTTCTTTATCTTCTATATTTAATTGTTATTTCCTTTATTTTTTTCATCTTGTTACAAAGAAGATTTTATTTATTTTTTTGGTTCCTTTCTTATTTTCCTTTATTTTCTTAGTATTTTTTCTCTAGAGAAAAAAATAAGGAGATGAAGAACCAATAAGAAAAGGAAATAAAAAAAAACAAAATACCAACCATAAAGAACCAAAATAAAGAAAATAACAAAGTAGTTACTCTCTCTTTCTTTTTCATTCTTCTTATTTATTTTTGGTATTTGTTTTTTTCTCTCTAGAGAAAAAAATAAATAAGAGAGAAAAAAAAAACAAAATAAGAAAGGAACCAAAATAAAACCAAAAACAAAATAAGAAAAAAGTTGGGAACTAGTATATAAAACCAAAAACTAGAAACAAAAAAAAAATGGGACACGTTTAATAAGTTACGTTGGTTCTTTATTTGTTCTTAAATTTTGCCTCTTTTTAGTTTCTACTAAGAAAGTAACTGCTTTCGTATTTCTTTTCTTTTGTGGTATTTCTTTTTTTTTTTTTCTCTAGAGAAAAAAAAACAAAAACAAAATAAGAAAGGAACCAATAACAAAATAAAAACTTTGTTTTTCATTAATGAAAAAAGGGGAACAAACAAGTTTGGTATAATATTTAATTAAAGAGGAGTTCGATTAATTGATGAACGGTGATCTGTAAATTTAAGAGCACCTTTTCCAAACTCATATACAAATCCTAAAGTTAGAAGTACTAAGAATATCATAGCAATCCAGAAACCATAACTTGTAACCTGATATAATGTTACAGCTAATGGATATAATACAGCAATCTCTAAATCAAAGATTAAGAATAAAATTCCAACTAAATAATATTGAATAGCAAAAGGAGCACGTACTTGTCCATAAATAGGGTTAAAACCACACTCGTAAGGTGTAACTTTCTCCGTGTCAGGTCGGTGAACTGCTAGTAGAACGTTAAGTGCTAATAGAATTCCAACTAGAATAGGAACGAAGAATAATAGAACAATCATAGTCATTAGTAGTTATAAATAGACATAGCCATTAACTGTGTGCTATTTAATATTAATGATGGTTCTAGTACAAATAGTACGATAAAGAATGTTAATACTGCAATTACATAACAGTGAGTACTTGTTAATGTTGAAACACCAACGTTGTTGTTTTGATCTGAATCTAAAGTAGGCTTATCAAAATATAGTACACGTACTACTCGTAAATAATAAGCGGCACTTACGACACTAGCTAAAATTGCAATAATTGAAATAAAGTAATATCCGTTATGGATTGCTGAGTATAGTACAGCATATTTAGCGAAGAACCCTACTAATGGTGGAATACCTGCCATAGAGAATAAACAAACAATCATACTTAGAGCTAAGATAGGGTTTTGTCGGAATTGTCCTGATAATTGTGAAATAAACTGAATATCTGAACTGTTAGAATCAAGAGAACTGTGTTTTCCACCTGCAATTGATAAAGTTGATGAATTAATTAAATATCCAAATGCTAAAATAATAAAGAATGCGTTAAGACTTGTTAAGCTATACTGGATTAAATAGAATAAGAAACCATCAATTGATTCTTGACCACTTACAGCTAAAGCTAATAACATAAATCCAACGTGTGAGATAGTACTATATGCTAATAGCCGTTTAATACGGAACTGAGCTAAACCTAATACCGTACCGATTACTAATGAGAATAATGAACAAATTAATAATAGTGCTTGCCATACATTAACAATGCTCTGCTCACCAACGAAAACGTTGAATACAGAAATACCTAAACCTTCAGTAAGTGAATGTAATGTTAGTAATAAAACAAAGATAGAAATTTTAGGCATTACAGCTAACCATGTAGTTACAATTGTAGGTACTCCGTCATAAACGTCCGGAGCCCAATTGTGGAATGGAGCTGAAGCAATTTTAAATAGGAATCCTACGGTCATAATAACTAAACCAAGGATTACACCTTGTGTTACCAGTCCTGTATTATTTTCCCCGGAAAATGATAAACCACTTTCCCCAACTTGTTGGGGAACCATGTCTGATGAGATAGATACTAAGCTACTAATAGCATCAAGGTTTGTAAGACCTGTATATCCATAAATTAAACTAGATCCTAAAAGAATAAATGCTGACGATAATGCTCCTAATAGGAAATATTTAAGTCCAGCTGCTGTTGCAGATTCACTGTTACGATATAATGCGGCTAAAATATAAGCAGCAAAACTCTGTAACTCAATAGCTAAGTATAAAGACACTAAGTCAGTACTAGATACTAAGAATGAAGCACCAATTGTCGTGAATACAAGTATCATTGGGTATTCTGCAATGGATGATTTAAGAGACTTGCTTGATAAAGATCCTTTGTTATCCATAGGAGAAGAAGGTAAAAGTAAGATTAGTCCTCCAATAACAAAGATAACTAGTTCAATTGCCATTGAAGTTGTGCTAACATGGAACAAACCACTATAAAGACTTAAACCTGACCCTAATACTGTAACGTAATAAGCGTTAAATGTTAGTGCCGCGGCAAAGAAAAATGTAATAGAGGTCACCCGAGTTAGCTGTACGGGTGATATATTTGAAGAAGAAAGCGGTATCGCAATTAACAGTGATAATAATGAAATTACTAGCATTACATGTCCTACAAATATTTTGGCTTTATTAAAAATAACACGCTTTCCTTTTTCTTGGTTTTATCTTTATTTATTTATCGTTTTATTACTTTTCTCTCGTTCCCTTTTTTCATTCTTTCTTGGTCTTTTCCTTTTATTTATTTTTAGTATTTTTGTTCCTTTTTATTTATTTTTTTGGTTTGTTCGTATTTTGTTTTTGGTTTTTTTTAGTAATACTAAAAAGAAAAGTAAAGAAAAAAGGAAAAAGAGAAAAACAAAATAAAACCAAGAAAGATAAAACGAGGTAATAAAAAAAACCAAAAACAAAATAAAGAAATGAAGAACAAAAGGAACAAAATACTAAAAAAAAAAATAGAACCAAAATAGTAATACTAAAAAGAAAGAAATACTAAACAAAGGAAACAAGAAAAATACTAAAGAGGAAATAAGCAAAATTCACTGTCTAATATTGTACGCAAGATCAGGATCGAACTGATGAAAACTCATTGGAAGTGAGTTATGTTACCACTACATCACATGCGCTTATGGTGGTATATATACTACGTATTTATCTTCTTTTATTATATCTATATTAGTAAATTTAATAAAGTTAATAATATCCATCAATAATACATTAAACACATTCTACACGACTCGAACGTATAACCTACTCATCCTCCCACAAATATACACAGAAGTAACTACCAATTGGTAAAATATAAACACTGCGAGGGACTCGAACCCCCACAAGCCTTATCCGAAGTAAGGTGATCTACCATTAACCTAGCAGTGCTATTGCTATTCATAAATTTATTATTTATTTATGATTAATTTTTGTTCTATCCCTTCTTATATCAAGACTGAAAGGGGAAAGTTATCTATCTAAATAGATTATTGATCAGCTCCAGGCTTATAAATAATACCATTTAATGCAATACCTGAAGCTAAACGACGTCGAATAGTTAAGTTATCTACATTTTTGTTAGTATTTTCTAATAGCCATGTACGTGCCGCATTGAAATTATCAAAGTGAAATTCTAGTCCATCAGAACATCGAACTAAAGTAATTGGAGGCGTCGTTGAAGAAGGACGACCTGCTGGTTTACGTACGAAACTTGTCTTAAAGTCAACCCGAGCTTTAACAATAAGATTTAATAAATCATCAAGTGTCAAAATGTTAGGCTCATAAGCAGTGTCAAGTTCGAATCGTGAAAGTACAAATGCATTAAATAATGGTTCACCAGAGTTAAGCGCGTTGGCAACTGTATTACTATTAACTTTTAGTATTGATATAGCACTATTTGTTCGACCATTCATGGAATCAAATACATATATGAGTTTATTGTTTAAATAAACGTATATCGGCTTACTACTTACTAATGAATTATGTTGGGATAACCATTTACCTCCTGGCGATCCTCCTGCAACAAGTAGATCATTATTAACAGGATTCATATATAAGATATAGTACTGTTCTAAAGCAACAAGTAACCGAAGTTCTTGAAGATGTTTAGGTATAATATAAACTCGGAGAATAAATAGACGAAGGCCTGTATTTCGGATATCTTGTAATATAGGTCGTAATTTATCAGCTTTATGATTTCGTAAGTAATGCCGTAGTCGCTCTCCAAACACAGAAGAACTACCTACATATACATTTTTACTAACACTATTACTAAGCATATAAATAGCCCAATCTTTGCTTTTAATTGGATACTTACTTCGTAGTTCATCTATTTTGTCCGATAGATCATATTCAGTATACGTTATGTCTTTAAGTTGTTCTAACTCCTCAGCAGAAATAAAATAACCTTGGGATTGTAAAACACTATTAATATCCTCATGTGTAATAGGTGTACCACGTGATATAATACGAGTAGCAAGAATATTAGGATTGTCGGTATCTTGTCCCTTGTCTTCCTCATATTTTTTACGCCAATATTCCTTTTGACTAAGAATTGGTAATGATGCGAGCAATGTGCAGTCCAGGTCTGAGCTAATACTATATACATAGTTAATAATAACTATGTTGTGTTCAGTGACACTTTGAAGGACCCAACTGACCAATGTTGAGTGATCAAATACAAAATGCATAATAATATTAGTCATTCTTATATTTATTCGTAATATAAGGGAGAGAGTAATATAAAAGTAAACAATAAATTAAAATCGTAACTCGCTAGTAATATAAAATATATAGACATATAACCTACTCATCCCTCCCCTACAATATTAATATAGCTTTTATTAATACAATATAGGGGGAGGAAGAAGTGAGCCGCGCTACCAATTGCGCCAAGAATGCATTAACCTATTCTTATATGTATTTGCCTTTGTTTTTTTATTTTTTTTATAGTTCTATAAATAAAGAGAAACGAATAAAAACAAGAACCAATAAGAAAATGAATAAGAAAGGAAAGTACCAAGAACCAAAAAAGTAGTACTAAAAAGGAATAAATATAAGAGAGGTATTGATTGTATACTTATTTAATTATTATAAATTACGATTAGTTTAGATATTTTGATTATTTTCATCTTTGTTCGTTCGTATTAATTTTTTGCTTCCTTTCTCTTATTTATTTTTGTTTTTTTTTCTCTACTTTTTCTTTCTTTCCTTTTGGTATTTTTCTCTAGAAAACCAAAACAAAATAAAACCAAAAACAAATAAGAACAAACTTTTATTTCTTTCCTTTTTTATTTTCCTTTATTTTCTTAGTATTTTTTCTCTCTTATTTACCTTTTTCTCTCTTATTTACTTTTGTTTTTTTTCTCTAGAGAAAAAAAAAAAGAAATACCAAAAAAAATAAGAAGATTTTATTTTAAGAAATACCAACAAACCAATAACAAAATACGAAAGTATTTATTTTCTTCCTTTTATCTTTGTCCTTGGTTTTACTTCTTTGTTTTGGTTCCTTTTGTATTTTCCTTTATTTTCTTAGAATTTTCTCTCTTATTTATTTTCGTTTTTTTCTCTAGAGAAAAAAAAAGAAATACCAAATAAAAATAAGAAGATGAAGAACCAATAAGAAAAGGAAATAAAAACAAAAAGAAAGTTTTTATTTAGAAATACTAAAGGAAAAGTGATACTAAAAAACAAAAGTAGTACTTAAAACAACCAAAAACCATGAAGTAAGTAAAACCGAGAAAAAATAGAACAAAAAGTAAAATAAAACCTAATAATAGGGATCATAGTTTAACGGTTAGAACATACGACCGATAATTGTATAGTGGTGGTTCGATTCCCCCTGGTCCTATGCTTTCCCTTTATTTTGTTCCCTTTGTTCCCCTTTTGGTTTTATTTTAGTGTTACTAAAATAAAATAAAATAAAAATATAAAGAACCAAAAACGAAGAGAATTACAAAAACAAAAGAAAAACAAATAAAGCGGGGAATAAATTAAACGCGAATTAGTGAAACGGTATCATCGCTAGCTCATGCCTAGCCGTTCTGGGTTCGATTCCCAGGTTCGCATATATATATATATTTTATTATTTTTGGTTACTTTTCTTTTTATTTTATCGTTTTTCCGTAATTTTCTTCAACTTTCCTTTCTCTTATTTTGCTTTCTTTTTCTTTCCTTTTTATTTTCTCTACTTTTTTTCTTTCCTTTTGGTATTTCTTTTTTTTTTTCTCTAGAGAAAAAAAAACAAAAACAAAATAAGAAAAAGGAACCAAAATAAAACCAAACGAAAAACAATGGAGAGAAAAATAAATACTAAGAAAATAAAGAAAATACGAACGAACTAAAACCAAAGAATAGAAAGAATAATAAACCAGTTGAATGGAGAATTATATTATACTAAAGAGCTTGTCATCTAATGGTAGGATAACGTCTCTTCATGGCGTCGATCTAGGTTCGAATCCTAGCTAGCTTAATATTATAAGCCTATATTAATATTATTGCCAGATTAGTTTAGTGGTAAAACGGCTACCTTGTAAGTAGCAGTCTTGTGTTCAATTCACGGATTTGGCAGTTGGTTTACATTATTAGTAATTTGTTATTTATTTTACTTCTTTGTTATTTTTCATTTCGTTCTCCTTTCTCCACTCCTTATTTTCTTTCTTTATCTTCTTTTTTGGTTTTATTTTTATTTACTTTTTTTCTACTTTTCTTTCTTTCCTTTTGTTTCTATAGAAAACCAAAACAAAATAAAAAGGAACCAAAAGAAAACCAAAAACAAAATACCGATAAAGTAAATGAAAATAACAAGAGCCAAATACGAGAAAGGGAACAAAAACGAATGGGTCATGGTCTAATGGCATGACGGGTTTTTTTGGTGAACCATGATACTTGTTCGAATCAAGTTGACCCAGATTTAAGTTTTAAGTGAGGAGAAATAATAGGACTGGGTGCTTAGCTCAGTGGTAGAGCGTTGAGCTTTTAACTCAATGGTCGGCAGTTCGAGCCTGCCAGCACCTATTTACCTTGTTTTACATGTCCCCCGTACAATTTTCTTTATTTCCTGGATCTATTTTTGTTTTTATTTAGATTTTCCTTATCTTATAGTTTTTATTTGTTTGGCTTTTATTTTTTTTCTTTATTATTCTGGTTTTCTCTTTCGTTTGGTTTATTTTGGTTCCTTTTTATTTTTGGTATTTTCCTTTATTTTCTTCATCTTCTTATTTTTTCTGGTATTTTCCTTTATTTTCTTCATTTTCTTATTTTTTTTCTCTAGAGAAAAAATAAATACTAAGAACCAATAAGAGAGAAAATAAATACCACAAAAGGAAATAAATACTAAAAAATACTAAGAAAATAAAACCAAACAAAAATAAAAAGAGGAAACAGAGAAAGTAATAAAGGAAAGTATAATTTAAATAGGACAAGTTGCCTACTGGAAGGGGTGAGCTGATTGCTATTCAGTATACGGCTAAACCGTATTGTAGGTTCGAATCCTATCTTGTCTGTAAATTATGTATCATAGGGTGACAAAAACTAACATTGTTACGTTCTTATATTTTTGATAAAAAAAGGGATATTTTCTTATTTATTTTTGGTTCCTTTTTTTATTTATTTTTGTTTTTTTTCTCTAGAGAAAAAAAAAAAGAAATACCACAAAAGGAAATAAAAAACAAATACCAAAGGGGATATTAGTATGGTGCGATATCAAAAGCAACTAGTAAACTAGGAACTAAGATTATTAACGCAATAACTACAGGAAGAATAGCAGTCCAACAAGCTTGCATTAGTTGATCATAACGTAACCGTGGCAATGTTGCTCGGAACCATACGAAGATGAAGCAGAAAATACATGTCTTCAGCGCTAATACGATACTTTGAATGTTAATAAATGTATCATTAGGAATAATTTCAGGCATGATATAACCACCCATGAATAAAATTGAACTGAATGCACTCATTAAAACAATACTACAATATTCAGCTAAGAAGAAGAATACGAAAATCATTCCACTGTGCTCCGTAAAGAATCCAGCAACTAGCTCAGATTCAGCTTCAGGAAGATCAAATGGTGTACGGTTAGTTTCAGCTAAAACAGAAATAAAGAAGATAATAAATAATGGGAATAATGGGATTAAGAACCAAACACTTTGTTGACTCTCAATAATAGTTGTATAGTGGAATGTACCTGTTAATAAGATTACAGCTAATACTGCAGAACTTAGAATTAATTCATAACTAATCATTTGGGCAGTACTTCGTAGAGATCCTAGGAATGCATATTTTGAGTTAGCAGACCAACCCGCAAATAATACTCCATATACCCCAATTGATGAAATAGCTAATGAATATAAAATTCCAAGACTAAAATCAGATAATGCTAATCCACTACCAAATGGAATTACAGCCCAACCTAAAAGGCTAAAGATTAAACTAATGATAGGTGCTAAGAAGAATAAACTTCGAGTAGCATGTTGTGGGACAACAGTCTCCTTAACTACTAATTTAAGAGCATCAGCAAATGGTTGTAGTACTCCATAGTATCCAACTACATTAGGACCAATACGTCGTTGCATACTAGCAAGAACTTTACGTTCAATAATAGTCATAAAAGCTACTGATAGTAAAATCGGTACTAGTACAATTAAAACTTCGAGAAGACTATATAGTACAGATAACATGTTAACTAATTTATAAAACGATTAAATGAAATTATTTCGTATTTTACTTTCTTATTTATTCCCTTTCTCTTTTTAATTATATATTTTTTTTCTTGTATTTCTTATTTTTCTCTTTTTGATATTTATTTTTTCTTTCTCTACTTTTTCTTTTTAGTATTGATTCCTTTTTTGGTATCTGTTTTTCTCTTTTTTTCCTTTTCTCTTATTGGTTCTTAGTATTTTTTTTTTCTCTATAGAAAAAAAAAAAAAATAAGAAGATGAAGAAAATAAAGGAAAATACAAAAAGAAACCAAAAAACAAATAAGAAAAAAAGGAAATGAAAATAAAACCAAAAAAACAAAATAAGTAAAAAGGAAAGAAAAATAAGAAATAGATGAAGAACCGAAATAAATACTAAAAATAAATACAAACAAAATTAGGTACATTTAATACATAAAGATTAGCTAAACTATTGAATACTTTTGTATTTTGTTATTGGTTCCTTTTTATTTTGTTTTTGTTTTTTTTTTCTCTAGAGAAAAAAAAAAAAGAAATACCACAAAAGGAAAGAAATAAAACTTTGGTATTTTATTTTTGGTATTTGTTTTTTTTTCTCTAGAGAAAAAAAATAAATAAGAGAGAGAAAACAAAATACGAAACAAAATACAAGAAAGAAGAAGAAAAAGAAGAAGAAGAAAGAAGGGGATATTATTTAACTTAGATATAAATAAATTATGGGATTCGTTTTATATTTCTTGGTTTCATGCTTCATGATTTTCTTTTTATTTATTTTTGGTTTCTCTTTATTTTCTTCATTTTATTTTATTTTGGTTTTCTTTTGGTATTTGTTTTTCTCTTTAGAGAAAAAACAAATAAGAAAAAAGTAAAGAAAAAAAAAACGAAGAATCATGAAGATTTATAAAGAACCAAAAAAGAATAAAGAAAGAAGAATATAAACCAAATTTATAAATTAAGAAAGAGTCTGATTATTATACTTGGCTGTCTAACCAGCTTAGATATTTCTCTAGAGAAACAGCTTCAACAACAATAGGCATAAATCCGTGATATACTCCACAAATTTCACTACATTGTCCATAGTAAACTCCTTCACGTTGGATAATAACAGATACTTGGTTAAGCCGTCCTGGCACTGCATCAATCTTAATTCCAAGTCCTGGTACAGCAAAGTCGTGAATTACGTCTTGTCCTGTTACAATAAACCGAATGTGTGTATCTACTGGTACTACAACACGGTTATCTACATCTAAAAGTCGTAGTTGTCCTAATTCTAAATCTGATTCTGGTACCATGTATGAGTCAAACTCAATTGATTCTCCATCAGCACTTACAAAATCTGAATATTCGTATGACCAGTACCATTGGTGTCCAGCTACTTTAACTGTCATAGTTGGAGAAATTACCTCATCCATTAAGTAAAGTAATTTGAAACTTGGGAATGCAATAGCAATTAAGATTAGTGCTGGTGTAATAGTCCAGATCAACTCAATTAAAGTTCCGTGGTTGTGATATTTGTGTACAATTCCTACTTTGTTACTGCTGAATTTAACCATGATTACAGTTAACATCCAGAATACAAGAAAACTGATAACAACTAAGTAGAAGAAAATAGTATCGTGTAACTCAACAATACCTTCAAAGTTTGGAGTAGCTCCGTCTTGGAATCCAATTTGCCATGGGTATGAAGCGTCACAGTGTAATGTTGAAGCAAATAGCATTGGTTTAACTAATGCGTTTCCAACACAGTTGGAAAGTAAGTTAGTAATAAATGACATAATAATAAATTTTTCACGCTCAGTAGCTCCTTTCACATAAAGACAATAATTATCTTAAAGCCTAAATAAATTTTATCTCATTTAGTTGGAACAGCTCTATCGTACTATATTTCCTTTAACTTTTATTATTTTCGTTTTGTTCGTATTTTGTTTTTGGTTTTCTTTTGTCTTATTGGTTCTTAGTATTTATTTTTTCTTATTTATTTTTTTCTCTAGAGAGAAAAAAAACAAATACCAAAAAAAAATAAGAAGATGAAGAACCAATAAGAAAAGGAAAGAAAGAAAAAGTAAAGAGAAAAAAAAAACCAAAATAAGAAAAATAAAATGAAGAACAAATAAAGAAAAGGAAAGAAGAGAGGGGGACATAAAACGAAAGGGGATAATTATAGTTTAGTAATGTACATTCGTGTAACAAATAGTTCAACAAATGTTGGTAAAATATATGTACCAAATACATACACTAGAGTGATTAACACTAAAAATGCAAATGATAATTGATTAATAAAGTAGAATGGTAATAGTTGCGGCATAATATAAATAATTTATGGCTCTACTTTAAAACTAAGTATAGTAAGCTTTCCTCATTTATCTATGAATTAGTTTTGGTTCTTCTTGTCTCTTTTTGCTTCTATTTTGGTTGGTATTTTGTTTTTCTCTGGTATTTTCCTTTATTTTCTTAGTATTTTTTTGGTATTTGTTTTTTCTCTCTAGAGAAAAAAAACAAATAAGAGAAAAAAATAAGGAGATGAAGAACCAATAAGAGAGAAAATCTTCTTTTTATTTTGATTATTCATTTTCTTTGGTTTTTTCTTTTTATTATTTAGTTTTGGTTTTCTTTCACTAATACTAAAAAGGAAAAGTAAAGAGAAAAATACAAAAATAGTAAAAAATAAAGACTGAATAACCAAAAACAGGAACCAAATAAGAAATGAAAAAAGGGGAACCAAAAATACCAAGTAGACAAACATTTAGGTAAGTATAATTTTCCACTTTTCTCTATATTGATATTTCCTTTTTTATTTTGTTTTTGTTTTTTTCTCTAGAGAAAAAAAAGAAGTACCAAAAGGAAATAAAAATAAATATCAAAGAAAACGTAAATTATCGCAAAAGGGGATTAAATACCAAGTACCTTGTTACTTTGTGTTACTTTATTATTTTTCTCTATTTGGTTTTCTTTTGGTTTGTTCGTATTTATTTTTGGTTCCTTTGGTATTTTCCTTTATTTTCTTAGTATTTTTTTGGTATTTGTTTTTTCTCTCTAGAGAAAAAAAACAAATAAGAGAAAAAAATAAGGAGATGAAGAACCAATAAGAAAAGGAAAAAAAAGATAAAAACAAAATACTAAAAAGAAAGAATGAAAAACTAACCAAAAATGTATGATAAAGAAAATACTAATAAAAACATAAATTAAGATTGTACTGGTAATGTGTTGTATGAGTGGAATGGTACTGGGCTAGCTAATGTCCATTCTAATGAGTTAGCGTATTGTGGTCCACTTACAAACTCAGGTGTGCTTGTAAAGAATTGTGGAACTGCCCATGGGTTGTTTGATACAGCTTTACCGTGT